TGGGCTTGAGTCCCAGCACATGGGCTCAGCTTTCAATCTGAGGTGAATGGTTTTCAAAACTAAAGAATGCACACTAAGACTGGATGAACCCTAATGTAAACTGTAAATTCCAGGAGCTCATGTCAATGTAGATTCATGAACTTTAACAAATTTACCACTCTGATAGAGGATGTTCACAGCAGGGGAGATTATGCATATGTGGGGGTAGAGGATATATGGGAAACCTCTGTCCCATCTCAATTTTGCTGTGAACCTAAATTTTCTCTCAAAAGACACAAAAAAACAAAAAAAACCTGGAGGATGGGATATCCCATTCCACGCATACATCTTTAAAATAAACCATAGGTTTTCCTTTTTGTCTTTAGTGAAGTTATTACACAAGCTTCAGATGTGCAGTGACCAGGATACTTGACTCGCGCCAACACTCAAGAGGGCCAGTGTAAAAACATCCTCGACCATGCTTCCCCAAAGGGCCTGCCGCATGTGTGGCTTACCTGAAACAGGATCAGGCACATACATTCTTTAGAGCCAAAAGCTGTGTAGGCTCTTACCTAAATGCCGCTGAATACAAATCTCAGCAAAGGAAAGCAAACTCTTAATGCCTTCTGCAAGTCAACGAATTGGGTAACACTGCCAAAACAGCTTCACCTTCCCATCCCTTTTAAACTGTTAAGACAACTCAATAAAATAATCCATGTAAAATGTCTGGCACATGGGAAATGCTCAGCGTTTGACATTATTCACTATTAGCTATTTCTGCCATTTCAAGTCCTGAAGGTCCAATGCCTAATGCTCTCCTGACCATTCTGAATTCAATTAACCCCTTCACAGTAATGGTCATTTCAGCACTCTCCCTTACTCATTCACAAATGATGACACCACCAGAACTAACCTGGTTTAGAACATCAGCAACTTTTAGGATTGCAATATCAAATTCATGTACTTCATAAGCCACAAATCACTTCTTATACACTCTTCAAACATACCTAATGATGTTAGGCTATCTACCTCTCAGGATGAAAGCAGAAATGTCAATGTGCTTCTAAAAAGTGGCTTAAACAAATACCCTCACCGAGGTCATCTAGCAATCCTGGACTCTGATTTCTGGAGTTGGGTATTTTCCCTATGATCTAAAGAAAAGCTGGGAAAACACTACAAATGGCCTACACTGCAATCATTAAGATCCGGCTTTAGGGACCTTCCTGACCCCCAGTAGTTAAGACTCCACACTTCCAATGCAAGGGGCATGGGTTTGATCCCTGGTTGGGAACTAAGATCCCACATGCCTGACAGCACAGTCAAAAAAAAACCTTCTGCTTTAAGGAAATCCAACACTTAAAACTAATGCAATATTGTACATCAACCATACTTGAATCTAAAGAAATAAAATTCAAAGCCAAGGACAAAATACGCTGCTGTGGTACCAGAGAGGTCATAACCAGATTTCTTATCATTACCTTGAGCTTTACAGGGGACATAAAAGCTATTCTACCACTATTAAAAATACCTTGATATATTTTTGATTGTTCTCTCTCTAGAGAAGCCCTTTTCTGGACAATCGGCTCTGGTGTGGCTATGGGGAGTACTGAGCTGGGGTTTATTGTCTTTGTGGTCTACTTTCAGTCACAGATTAAAAGAATGAAAATTAAAGAGGTAGTTTAAAAAAAAAAAAAGGTAGTTTTATTTGGACCAAGGAACCCTGAATATTCATTGGAAGGACTGATGCTGAAGCTCTAATACTTTGACCACATGATACGAAGAGCCAACTCATTGGAAAAGACCATGGTGCTGGGAAAGATTGAGGACAGGAGGAAAAGGGGGTAACAGACAAGATGGTTGGATGGCACCACCAACTACGGGAGATAGTGAACAACAGGGAAGCCTGGAACGCCACAGTTCATGGGGTTGCAAAGTCAGGCACAACTTTGTAACTAAACAAGAGATTATTTATTCTTTTCCACATGATTATGGGAAACAAAGATTGCTCAAGCCAAATACACCATATAGCTTTCCCTCCCATTCTTCTTGTCTGCTTCCAATGCAGGGAGCATGGTTCCATGTCTGGTCTGGGAATTAAGATCTCACATGTGTGGTAGTATGGTGTGGCCAAAAAAAAGTTCATGAAAGCTAGCAATACATCAAAGAACATGTGAGAAGAGATTAAGGCTTTAATGAAAAAACATTTTAGCTCATGGGAACAGAATCTACCTCGTTAACAAACAAGCCTTTTACTCAATCTTAAGGTCCATTCCTAGTGACACATTACAGTTGAAAATGAAGGACTGCTTATCACACAGGACAGGTTAAGTCACTACTGAAAGAATAGTCACATGGTATATTTTAATTATTTACTAAAACCCATGATCACCATCAATCACCACAGAATCCAGTATCCTTCAATTTGTAGTTGGAAAACTGAGCAGTGGCTCTTAAACCTAGATATAAAATCTCTGTGGGCATATGTTAAGAACCATAGGAAAAAACACCCTTCCCCTATTAAGCCATAGGAAGATCTTTCTGAAAAATTATCCAATACTGACACGCTACACACTTCCGTTCAAAACACACCTACTGAAATCAAGAAAGTCTTCTGTGTTTGCTTAGAATATTCAACCTAAGAAATGATTACATCATTTTATCAATTCATTTCACCCTTACAAAGTAAGTTCCAAAGTAAATCTCTCCAAGTCTTCAGTCTAGAATACTCAAGACACTCAACTCACTTTTTTGAACAAGCAGCTTTGTAAAACTGAAAATCGTATTTTAATGTTACTAAGAAATCACCAACAGCAATTATATTTCTTTAAAGAAAATTTACTATACTTAACAATGCATTTTCTTTTTTAAAAACTTTTTTTAACTGAAGCATGATTGATTTACGTTTTAACAACGCATTTTCTTTAGGTAGGGTTTTTTGGGCCACACAGAAAGGATGGTGGGATCTTAATTGCTCCAGCAGGGATCGATCCCCTAAATCCCTGCAGTGGAAGCTTGGAGTCTTAATCACTTTACCTCCAGGAAGTCCCCACAAGCCCTTTTCTGTTAACCACAAGGTTTACTTTAGAGAATCTGTACCTGGATGACAATAAAAACTCAATTACAACATGTGAGTTCCTTTGGAGTAAATTTTAACCACAGGACTTGAAAAACCCCTGCTTTTATCTAGATCACTTGGACATTGGGTCATTAGTATTGCACATTAATAAACTATATGTCCAGTCAGAAATAAAAGGCATAAAATGATTTTTTAAAAAAGAAAAGGATGTATTTCTTATGAAAGCATTTAAGAACAAAATGAAATGGAGACATGGAAAAACTAAGGTCTTTTGGACAATCAACTCCATGAGCTACCAAAAATAGTCAATTAGAACAGAAAAGAGAGTGAACCACTTAAAAATATATACTGTGTATGTGTGTATTTTCTTCAAGTATCTTAGAAAGAGAAATGCAAAATATTTCCTCATCAGTTCCAAATTCACCACAGTACAAAGCAAAACTTTTATTACTATACCCACACAATTAAGTGTCCTGAAGTTTATTTATCCTGGTAGCCTAAAACAATTAAGTATTAGTATCTGTTTCAACTTCCTAATACTATTCAAAGGATAAAAGACAGGCTGGGGGGGAACTCATTATGTGCTTATCACTGCCACTTCATTTCAAATGCCATTTTTATCCTTGAGTGAATATGCATAACACTAAACCATGATCCAGTAATAGTTTTTCATTTGGTTCAGTATCATATAAAGAATTTAAATTAATAGAGGAAAATATTTTTAATAGCTATATCTTATCTGAGACAATTTAACTCTAAGGTCATATGACAAGCAATGTACAAGTATTTGTTAAAAACTTACCAATCTGTCAATCGTCTTAAAATGTCTACGTTACACAGCAATATTTATTACCAGAAACTGCAGTGACTGATATTAAGTAGACACATTAGTTTGTTAAACTCTACCTGAAAACATGCTTTCAACAAAATCTGAACATCTTATCTCTTGATTCATATGGTTTTACAATCAGGTCTTACTGAAGGAGCACACAGATTTCACTTCCTTTCTTGCAGACGTCATGCAGGAAGAAGAATCCACAAAGAGCATTCTGGCAATCTGACAAATTGTACTATCTGGACTATAAGTCCTGAAATTCATTTAAAGAATGTCAAGGAGTTACGAGAGAGATTATGTTGTGGCCTTGATTTTTATTTTTTCCTAGAATTCTACAGATTCTAAAATTTATCAATTGATGTATCTTTTAAATAAACAGCACCAGTCTTGCCCATTGATACAATTAAAATTTGACTTTTTCAGCTCTTAGTTCACAAGTTTATTATGAAAAACACTGCAGTGCTCTTGTGCAGTAACATCATCTTACAGCAGGGAGAAAAAAAAAACAGTTCCATTCAAAACAACTCACCAGGTTCTGACAGTAACAAAGAACAACATGAGGCTGAGATTTGAGAAGGGAAAATAAAACTGAGTGCAGACAAATCATACAATTAAATTAAACGGTATCCCTGAAAATAAACAAAACGATTTTAAAACTCACAAGTAGAGGGGAGGCCTTGGTACTTATTTTTAAAAATGTTCATTAAGCTCCAATGATTGTTTGCTGCTATTCTTATCTACAGTCATGCTGAGTAAAGCTATAGCTAAATGGAAGTTAAATTGTATTCACGAGGTGTTAATGTTTACATCTTATTATTTGCAGTCTCTCAGAGAAAGCAAAGTAACTACAAATAGCGCTATGCCAGAAACTGGTTTCTTGACCAACAATGTCGCTTCAGCATGCAATGAACTGGTTCATTCTAAAGTGGTCACGGCTGTTGATGACAGGAGGCTTTGTATTTTTATATGGCACATCTTTTTGGTCCGTGTGAAAACAAGTTTTTTTGAATGTTAACTATTCTCTGACACTTGTGGAGTTACTGTTGCTCTTCCCATATCCATTAGGTCAATATATGGTTCATGGCAATACTGTACAAGTTTAAAATTTCATTACAGGAAGTAGTCTGGGGTACGACGAGTAACATGTGGCTCGCCTCTGCGAGGTGCTGGGTCAAACTGCAAGCTGAAAAACAAAGACATATTTGCTCTAAGACATCAATGTACTGACAATTAAAATCAATATTAGTCTCAGTTTTAGTTCCAGATGTACACCACAGTGGAGAAGGCAACGGCAACCCACTCCAGTACCCTTGCCTGGAAAATCCCAGGGACGGCGGAGCCTGGTGGGCTGCCGTCTATGGGGCTGCACAGAGTCAGACACGACTGAAGCAACTTAGCACCAGCAGTATAACATACTGTTTTGAAATTTCTATACAGTAATTACAGCAAGAGTCACCTATGTAAGTCTAACTACCACCTGTCACCAGTTATTACTGTATTACTCGACTGTATTCCCCGTGCTGTACGTTTCATTCTTGTGCACATTTTTACACTTTTTTCTATCCAATGATTTACATAATAGGACCCTAATTGTAGCCTTATCATGCATTTTACATGCATTTTCTAGCTGTATGCCTCCTCAAAGAGCCAAGGCAACATCAGCCAGAGGATATGCTTCTATACATTGTGGTTCCTTCTGAGACCATTTGAAAAGATTCTACTAAATAAGTTTTAAAGAGTCTAAGGTACTGTATCTATAATCATTTCATCCTCAGGATTTATTTACTCTACAATAAAAGTATAGGTTTAAAAGTTAAGATCCTAATAATTCATATTAAGGTGTTAGGTTTCTGTTGATATATTTCAAAGAAAACCTTAAAATCTGTTTGGAATCTGGATTTAGCATAAACTCTTGAACTATTAAACCTCCCATTAAAACTAATATTCAAGTAATGGTAACCAACTACTCAGGTGTGAATACTTACAAAGAGTATTTTAGAGTATCATCAAGTTCCATGATTGCAGCTTGGTTACCACAACGATAACAATAGTTTGGAGCACTGAAAATCGTTACTACATTTCGGTCATGGCACCAGTTATATCCCTACAAGGAAAAGAACAGAAAAACAAAAACAACAACTGCATTTTACTCCTTTATTTACACAACTAAAGGTGACTCCCTTCAAGAAGGAAAATAGATCTGCCCTTTTCCCCAAAAAGGTTTCTACAAAAGCACTGCTTTGTTTCTGGATGATTTAACAATTTCCTGTACTCTGCACAGTGACCCCTCCTCAACTCCTGGCCATGCTGCACAGCTTGTGGGATCTCAGGTCCCCAACCAGGGAATGAGCCCAGGCCACAGCAGCAGAAGCACTGAATCCTAACCACCAGGAACTCCCTACGAAGAACTCAAGAAAAGTCCTAAAAACAACAACTAAAAACAAAACCACCAATCTCAAAAGGATAAACTACTTCTCTCATTTCTTATTGCAACAGCCCTAAACACAATACAAGAATAAGTATATGGCCATTCCTTGTACAGGCAGATACACACTCCTGGAGACTAGAACCTTATTGATTCTGTCCTCATTACAGGCATTACCTGAACTGTCCAGACATGAAGGAGAGATGACTCTAGGAACTCCAACCTCAACCCTCCAAAGTTCACCTGAATGTATGAGTAACTTTTAAAGTACTGTTCACAAATTTCTTTCCCTATCTCAAGCAAAGTCAGACTTTATGGATAATCACAGAATTGTGTCAGCATTAATCTAAACTGAATCTTAATTTTATAAGTATGCTTAATCAATGTTTTATACTATGAATTTAGCCTCTTCCCTTTTAGTTTCTTCTTTTAAATCACCTGTAATCCTACCATCCAAAGGATCACTTAAAACATTTTGGGTGTATTTCTTGCCAAACTCTCCTCCATATATATGCATATTAAATATATGTAATAAAACTGAGATTAAAAAAATGTTGTATTTCCATCTCCTCCATCTACTTTCCCAGCCTTAAATCCCTAGCACTGCTCGGTCATTACGAATTATCTCAGAACATTTTAACATTTGGATCAAAAGCCTGAGATTTTACTTAGTTTTATTTTTTGGCTATGGGGGTTCCTCGATGCTGCGTGGGGGCCTTCCTAGTCGCAGCGGGCTGCGGCCTCTCTGCCGTGGTGCTCAGGCTTCTCGTGGCAGCGGCCTCCCGTGTCCTGGAGCATGGGCTCCAGGCGCTCTGGCTTCAGCAGTTGCAGCTGCCATGCTCTGTTAGCTCTGCTACACATGGGATCTTCCTGGTCCGGGATCCAACTGGTGTTCCTTGCACTGCAAAGCAGATTCTTAACCAATGGATCACCAGGGAAGCCCCAAAAGCTTGGGCTTTTAATTCTAGTGTGTATCCATCGAAAAGGTTCAGGCTATAATGGTACACTCATCAGAAAAATACACACATATTCTCACTAATACCATATAATTTAAAATTTCCTAAGATCTTCCTTAAGTTTATTTAAAAAGCAAGTCAATGTCAAAGAACAAACGTACCTCCATCACCAGCTGATGAGCTCTAGACACCAACGTGAGGCCATTGGCATGATTAAATGTCTCAGAAATATCCTGCCCAAAGGTGTAACCAGCTCCGCGAGGAGATATACCCCAACCTCCACGGTCATCTGGATCTGACCACAGCAAGTCACACATCGGACCCTAAAAAGCAAGTTAAGTTTTAGACTACCTCTTGGAAAACTGGTTAATATGTGATCTCAGTAATTTAATCAAAAGCACCCTACTAAGTCACTTTTTGAATGGTGTTTGCCAAAACCAGTAAAAGGTTTTGCAGATACTCAAATATCTGTGTCAGATAAGTAAGAAACTATTTCCAGATGTCTTTAAGACACACGGCCTATACCAATGAGTTCTAACAGCATCAAGCCCTAACTAATTAATAGTATAGTTTAGTAATTAAAATAGATGCTCTGAAAATAGTCACCACCTTGGTCCTAAACCCAGTCCCAGAGCTGTCGTGATCTTGGCAGGTTTCTTAATGTTAGCTTCTGAAGAATAGGGTCAACGAGAGTGCTGATACCACATGGGATGATTTTTGAGGATTAACAAGAAAATACATAAAATGAACTAAGTTACAATTCAGAACAGTTCCTCTTTCTAAAGTTTTCTGAAAAGAAAAAAATTTATTATCAAAAAAAGAATAATACCTCATGGGGAACTTCTTGTAGGCGATCAAGTGCTCTGATGTGATCCAGTGTATCTATGGATGGTGAGAGGCCACCATGTAGACAGAAGATCTGAAAAGAATGGTTTCCAACATTACCTTCATTTACAATAAACATTATAGACTATGCTGCAAACAGCAGCCCACATCACTCGGCCCCCTTAGCTGTTTCTGTGTTCTGCCAGAACTGGGCTTGTTTCCGCAGGATCTTTCTTTCATCCCGCTCTAAACTATGGAATATACTCTTTCTTCCTGATAAACCATCCCTATTGTACCCAAACTCCAATCAGATCTTGACTTTACCCTCATCATAGACTATTATTTTCCTTCTCATAGAATTTTCTGGAAATTTCTCTGTACTTGCCTACTGGGACCAGAAAACAGTTAATTACATCTCCCTAACATGTCCAGAAACAGCCTAAGAGGATGGATGGGCTGTATCTTCCACCCTACTCCATGGTTCAGTGCCCCTCACAAATTGAGGGCCCAGAAGGATGTGAGGGTGGAAAATAAGTTACTGGTACCTAAATGTTAAGAAAGCAGATGCCTGAAAATAATTAGAAACATAAGCTTTAAGAAGACTTACATACCTGCCCATCCACCAACGCAGTGAGAGGAAGATAGTCAAAAAGGTCTGTAAAATACTTCCAAACATTTGCATTTCCGTATTTCCTTAAACACTCATCGTAGAAACCATATACTTGTGTGATCTGTCTGCTCTCATGATTTCCTCGAAGAATGGTGATACGTTCACGGTAACGAACCTGAAACAAAAAAATGGAAAACATGAACAGCTGGCTCCTTCAAAAACCAAGTAACAACCCAGCAAACATTCTACAGTAAAACAGAGTTCCAATTTTGTTGGAAAAAAAATCTCACACTCCCACATCACACAAAAGTGAAATCAAACCTACAGATATTTATCCCACTGGGTATCTGCCAACCCCATCTCACTACCACCAACTTTATGTCAAGCATAATCATTAGCTGCAAAACTCCATCCATGAGTTTTTTTTATTAGTTATACAACCATTACAATCCAGTTCTAGAACCTTTCCATTAACCCAAAGATCCCGCATGCCTGTTTGCGATCACTTCTGACTCCCTCTCTCAGCAACTATTAATACTCTCTTGAGATTTGCTTTCTCTAGAAATTTCATAGAAATGAAACCATGTAAAATGTAGATTTTTTGTGTTTGGCTTCTTTTAGCTTAGCAGAGTATTTTTGAGACTCATCTGTATATTAATTAGTGGTTTGTCTCTTACTGCTGCATAGCATTCCACTATGACTTCTGTTTTGGATTTTTATTCATCAGCTGGCTGAACATTTGGCCTGTCTGCAGTTTAAGGCTATTGTGAATAATGTTTCTATGATCCTACTGCCATGTAAGAAATTTCTGTATGCATATACGCTTTCAATTCTCTTGGGTGGATTCCTATGGTTCCAATATCTTCAACAAATTAACACTTGGTATGACTAGCCTCACCCATGAAAACCACTCTACTGGGTCTGATTTATTTCTGGCTGTGCCACACACGGCCTGTGGGATCTTAGTTCCCCAATCAGGGATTGAACCTGCAACCTCTTTACTGGGAGCACAGAGTCTTACCCACTGGACCACCAGGGAAGTCCCTGGCCCTGATTTTGACTTTAATTTGCATTTCCCTGATAACTAAGGTTTGAGCATCTTTTCATGTGCTTAATGACCATTCATACACCTTCATGGGTGAAACATCTATTCAAATATTTTGTCCACTTAAAAACTATTTGTTCTCGTACTGAGTTAGTATAGGTTTTAAAAATATATATGAATACAAATTTTTTTTTAGTGATATCTCTTGAAGAACAAAAATTCAATTTGATGGAAGTCCAATTTATCAGCATTTTAATGGATTGTGCTTTTGGTAGCATACATAAATCATCTTTGTCAAACCCAAGGATACAAAAATAATTTTCTCCTTTATTTTAGAAGTTTCACAGTTTTAGTAATTCAGATTGATCTCTGATTAATTTTGACCTATCTGTAAAGTATGAGGTAGTTTAAGTTTGCTTTTTGCATAGGGATACACAACTGTTCCAGCATTATTTGCTGAAGTTTCCTTTCCCCTGTATTAAGTCTGCTAGGACTACCATACAGGATACCAGAGATTAGAAAGCTTAAGCAACAGAGATTTATTTCCTCACAGTTCTAGAAGCTAGAAGTCCAAGATCAAGGTGTCAGCAGGGCTAGTTTCTTCTGAGGCCTCTCTTCCATGGCTAGGAAATGGCCATCTTCTCCACGTTTCTTCTCATCATCGTCCCAGTTTTTGTGCTCTAATCTCCTCTTGTAAGGACACCAGTCAAACTGGATTAGGGGTGACCCATATGATCTCATTTTGCCTTAATTACCTCTTCAAAGGCCCCATCTCCAATACAGCTACACTCTGGGTACTGGAAGTTAGGATGCAGCATAAATTTGGGGAAGAGGTGGTAGTGGCAAATTCAGTTCATAACACAAACACCATTAAAAAAAATTTATTTATTTATGGCTGCACTGGGTCTTTGTTGCTGCACACACAGGCCTGCTCCAGTTGCAGAGAGCAGCAACTACTCTCTAGGTGCATGGCTTTCTCATTACAGTAGTTTCTCTTGTTGCAGAGAATGGGCTCTAGGGTGCGCGCACTTTAGGAGTTGTGGTTCACAGGCTCTAGAGCACTGACTCAGTACTTGTGGCACACCGGGAAAGCTGTCCTGCAGCACATAGGATCTTCATGGACCAGGAATCAAATCTGTGTCCCCTGCACCACTGGCAAGCAGATTCTTTACCACTGAGCCACCAGGGAAGCCCCAAACGTGAATTCTTAAGTTAGTATATTTATTCTTCCTCTGAGCGTTGGGGACTCATCCTGGGCTTTAAGTATAGGTTAACTTGCAAGATTGCTTTCATAGCATCTACAGTCACTGCAGAAACTTTCCATCATTTAATTCCACTCCTTCAGTTTACAGATGCAGAACATAATGACCTCTGAAAATGTTTTGCAGCACTTTACATGACTCAGACTAGTTGCTTCATCAACACTACATTTCTGTCGATTGCTCAAAATTCAGTGTTTGCCAAAACCACATCTCAGTGCTTCTCCAATACTAGAAAATGCTGTCAGTCATCTTACCATTTTTACATATTCTTTAATAAAATTATCTACCCAAAAGAAAACTCTAATAATTTAAGCAAAAGGTTATCCTAAAATGTTTTCTACCATTTTGTGTTTCACCTTCAAATCTTTGTATATTTCCCAAAGCTACAACTGGTATAAAAACAGCTGGCTTTCTTTAATTATCATTTCTATTGTACTAGATTATCATGTCATGTCTAATGGCTGCAAACTATTCCACTGAGATAAGCCATAACTTAGATATTCACTTACTGTTATTTATATCAATTCCTTCTCTGAATTAAAGATAATGCTACAATTTACATTTTCATATATGTAAAGCTTCTTTTCTCTTAAAACTTCTTCCTCAGTACCATTTAGTTACAGGGTTGTTGTGTCAAAGGATATAAACATGCCAATATTGGAAATGTGCTGCTCCATTAGTGAATATGCTTCAAAAATACCTAGAAAGGTAATTATATTACCTGTTCTAACTCCTATTTATTAAATAAAACTTCTATTTAACCAGCCCTCTAGCATTTTTAAATCATCTGACTGAGGCATTCTTTTCCTCAGAAAATAACTTGTTTTTATATTCTGTACCATTCCCTCACACTCAGAATGAAGATAGACATGATTTATTAAGTCCCAAATCTGAATATCTAGATTCCTATATGTGGAGATTTATTCTAAAATCTAACGTGCAGATAGATAAGGCCACAAATCACTGGGGGGGTGGGGGTGGGGGGTGGAGGAAGGACATTCAAGAGGGCTGTCATATCCAGTTCAAAATGCTCAAATATAAAATTGAAATTACCTTAAGAGCTACAAGCAAAGTAACTGTTTCCACTGAATAGTATCCTCTGTCAACATAATCGCCCATAAACAAGTAATTTGTATCTGGTGATTTGCCACCAATTCTAAACAGTTCCATGAGATCATGAAATTGCCCATGCACATCTCCACAGACAGTGACTGGACATCGAACTTCTTGCACATTGGATTCTTTCGTCAGGATTTCTTTAGCCTACAGATGGAGAAAAATAAACCAAGACACTTAGCATTAAACAACATAAACAAAGATATGTTTAACTATACTTAAGATACAAGCTGCACTTAATACAGCTTTAAAGGGCAGACTAAGCATAAAATGAAAAAGCAGACAATTATGACCCCATTAAAATAAGAGGGCAAGACATACCTAAAATCTGTCCAATAGCTATCTCATCCCTGATCCTAGGAAAAACATGTATCAAGGTGCACAGTCCCATTCTTCCCATCAGTACCACAAGTTTTAGGCCTATCAGTTGCCATCTAACTAAATGCTAAAGAGATCATTATTAGCAGTCATATGGAGCAAGACACTCAGGTACCTAGTTCCTCAATATACTCTAGGATTTCAGGCTATGTGGAGAGGTTTCTTAGCCCTACTTTATTTAAAAAAGATTCTGGGGACAATATTAAAACTTTGGATTTTGTTTTTGTTTTTACCCTCTTCATATCAAAGTACAAACTTACTGTTTTACAACTGTGACTATTCAATATACATGGTTTTTATGCTGCTTTTAGAAAACTAGCATCCTATGCATTTTCCCATGTAACCACAAATTCAAACATTACTTAAAAGACAGGAAGCTCAATTTTTATTTTTATTTCTTGCTGATTAATTATCTTTTTGGCTGTGCTGGGTCTTGCCGCGCATGGGCTTTCTCTTCATTCCAGTGTGCGGGCTTCTCTTGTTGTGGAGCACAGGCTTGGCAGTTGGGGCGTGAGGGACCCAGAATGTGTGGGCTCAGTAGTTGTGGCAGGGGCTTAATTGCTCCTCAGCATGTGGGATCTTCCAGGACCAGGGTCAAACCCATGTCCCCTGCACTGCCAGGCAGCATTTTAACCACTGGACAACCAGGGAAGTTCTAAACATTAGTTTTAAGAGTAACATAATAGGCCACTCAATAGAAACTCTTTTATTCATTTCCAACACACATTTATTAATCACTTGTGTTAGTTTCTCAGTTATGGCCGATTCTTTGCAACCCCATGGTCTGTCCGTGGAATTTTCTAGACAAGAATACCGGAGTGGGTTGCCATTCCCTTCCTCAGGGGATCTTCCCACTACTGTATGCTAAAAAAACTGTTGAGTGACTGGGAGATAACCACTCATTTGCTCGACTATGAGTGGTACTTTGTGCCAGACCCCATGCTAATCCCTGGAGGTATAGTGAGTCAGACAGATCATTCCCAAGCCAGGGTTGGTGAGGGGGATTTGGGGAATTATTACAATTAGCAGATGCAAAAAGAGATTAATATTAAAGTCCAAGGAATTAACCAGGAAAGGTTAACATGGTTATAGCACAGTACGGAGAAACAGAGACAAGGGCAGACTAACGTGGGGTCAACAAACCACCTGATTTTAGCACTGGTAGTCCTGAATCCCAGGAAACACCTCAGTTGCATCCAGGCAAACCACGATGACAGATGGTCATCCAGGTAGGAAATATAGGGGGGGAACAGAGCATGGATATGGACTGAAAACAACTCTAATTAAAGTAGTAGCAAAACAAAGATCCAACAGACAGAAGATCTGATGAGTGGATTTAGGATTTCAGAGGTAGTGTTATGACTGCGGATACCTGAGGTGGAGTAGAGCTTAAAGGTCACCCACCAGTACTCAGGGACCAAACGACCGACAAGTCTTGCCTGTCTCCTTCCAAAACATATCTCAATCCATATGCTTCTACATATTTTGTCAACATCCTGATCCAAATGACCATCACTTCTCCTGGATTGCTGTTAGCCTCCACAACGATCTCCCTGTTTCTAGTCTTCCTACTCCAATTTATTTTCCATGTAACAATCAAAGTGACAGCTTAAAAATTATCACCAGATTCGCTTTATCCACCACTGTCTACACCAGGGGTCCCCAACCTCTGGGATCTAACACCTAATGATCTGAGGTGGAGGTGATGTAATGATAATAAAGATGAAGTGCACAATAAATGTAACGTGCTTGGATCATCCCAAAACTAGCCTCCTCTATGGAAAAATAGTCCTCCATGAAACCGGTCCCTGGTGTCAAAAGGACTGCTTGTCCACACAGCACCTCACTAGAACAACACCCCAGATGTAGAAGGCACTTCTTATTTTGTGGGAATCAAAAACTTAAACTGAGATACTGGATAGGTACTGGTGTCTTCAGGGAGAGCCCTGAACGTCTCCCAGGACAATGGCATAAGTACAAGCTTAGAAAGTGATACCCAAGTTCTCTGGATAATGAAGAAACAACAGGTAACAGCTGTAAAGAAAAAAGCCCGTGTATCTAGGTTGAGGACAGAAACCTGACAAACACAGGGAATTTTATTCTCAAGTAGAAGAAGGCAGAACACATCCACCTGGGAGAGCTACTACAGAAGGTACAAGACTTTCTCAGGGAGAGAACTGTGGCTAATGAGTCACAGCTCACTACATTGTGAGCAGCAACCACGGATGTCAAGGACTGATTTACTTGCTGCTGCACTGGGCTGCTGCGCATAGGCTTTCTCCAGCTGTGGTGAGTGGGGGCTACTCTCCTGATGCAGTGTGAGGGCATCTCACTGCAGTGGCTTCTCTTGTTGGAGCATGGGCTTAGCTGCCCTGCAGCATGTACAACTTCCCGGACCAGGCAACCCACACCCCCTGCAGTGGTGGGGGTATTTTAACTGCTAGACCACCAGGGAAGTCCCCTACAGACTGGTTTTAAGGCAGCGGGATGCAACCTTAGCAGCACATTTAAAAATCACTTAGAAAATCTTTAAAAATATTCAGATGCCCAACTACTACTTCTCCCAATTAAGTCAGAATCTTCGTGGGTGGGATCCAAGCATAAATAAGTCTTCCCTCCCTCCTCTATGCTTTCTTGGGTGCAGTCAAGCTTAAGAAGAACTATTTTGAAGTCTCCGAACATTCTGGGGAGACTATTTCAGGACACTTATCAACCACTGACATAGAAATGTTAATTAGTTTGATCTAACATTTTTAAATTTAGAAAAAAAATCCATTTCAAAAGAGGCCATTTCTTAAGAAATTCATTTACTCTCTCCACAGTAATTCCAACTTCCCAATTCATTATTACCGAAAAGCAGAATATTCTATTATTAAATGTTCCATTACTATATCTATTTGGAATACTGGGCCTAATGTTATCAGCACCTAGTATATACATGCGTTCTCAGTCGCCAAGTTGCCACCAGGTTGCGTCTGGCTCCTGACAACCCCATGGTCTCAAGTCTGCCAGACTCCTCTGCCTATAGGATTTTCGAGATAAGAATACTGGACTGGGTTGCCCTGTTCTCCTCCAGGGGATCTTTCCACCCAGGGACTGAACCTGGGTCTCCTGGATTGCAGGCGGATTCTTTACCACTGAGCCACCTGTGAAGTCCTCAGTACATACTATGAACGAAATGACAGGTTCTACTTAAACCCATGTAAATCTTGCCTTGATGTTACCACACTTATTTCCACCAGAAGTTAAAAGTTGTCATTAATGACTGCCTTCTAAAAAATAGTATTTCCTGTGATTTATTACTGTTTCTAAATTGGAGTATAATTGCTTTCCAATGTTGTGTAGTTTCTGCCGTAGAGTGAAGTGAATCAGCTGTGTGTGCTGTGCTTAGTCACTCAGTCCTGCCCAACTCTCTGTGACCCCGTGGACTGTAGCCGCCAGGCTCCTCTGTCCATGGGGGTTCTCCAGACAAGAATACTGGAGTGAGTTGCCATGTCCTTCCTCCAAGGGATCTTCCCAACCCAGGGATCAACCCAGGTCTCCAGCACTGCAGGTGGATTCTTTACTGTCTGAGCCACCAAGGAATTAGCTGTATACAGTATACACAAATCCCCTTCGTCTCACCCCACTCCCCATCTTACCTATCTAGTCATCAGAGCGCATGGAGCTGAGCTTGTAACTGCCTTAAATCCCTTATAATCTACTCAAAATCTCTATTCAAATCATAAAAGAAAAGCCTAAATGCTATTTGTTCCTTTCAGAGCTTTCAATTTAGACAAATCACAATGATAAACATTGTATCTACCTTCAATTTTATTTTTTAGTCTTTATTGAACTTGTTACAATATTGTTTCTATGTTTCAGGGTGTTTTTTTTTTTTTTTAAACTACCTCTAGGCATGTGGGAACCTAGCTTTCTGACTAGGATCCAACCTACACCCCCCTGCATTGGAAAGCAAAGTCTAACCACTGGACAGCTAGAGAATTCCCAACAGTAATACATTCTTGTAAAAAAAACTTTAGCAGCAGATAAAACTAAATGTCCCTTCTGACCACTCTCCAGAATTCTGCTTTTCTTGGGAAAAATAACCAACCACAGCATTCTGAGGTATGTCCTTCTGAAGTCTTATTTACAAAATTTTATATACATATTATATTCCCACAGAAACATAATAGTTTTCTTTGCATTTTTAAACTAGAAACAACATTAAGGGAAAAGCAGCCTCCTCAGAGTTCATAATGCATACACATAGAGATCAGGTCAGTTTCTCACACTGGAAGTAAAATACTTCCTGAAGGGTTAGGATACAAGGAGTGTGTACTGAAATGCACATCCCAGTGCCTGCTCCCTTGTATCCCTATGCTGGCATGTCTCCTGAAAGATTTCATGAAGTGGACCTATGAGCATATGCAGCAGTTTGTACTGTTTTTATGTTGACACTACCATACCGTCCTCTGAAAAGGAAAAGCCATTGTATAGATAAAGTGAACACTCTTACCCTGGGAAAGTCAAAGCTTGCTCCTCCCTTCCCAGCAAATTTTAGACAGAAAAATTATAATTAAATCCTGAAGAAGTCAGTAGTATATATCAGATGCAATCCAGCCAACTATTAAGTATACTGTAATAAATATTCAAGCTTATAAAGGACCAGTTAAAACACACTTAAAAAAAAAAAATCTCAATTTACCACTCTCAGATGATCACTACACCAAAAGATGAAATTCCCAGAACACTGTAACAAAAAAGACTGCAGACATCTCATTAAAGAT